CAGTGCCGTAGCTCCGCAAACGCACATAACGCACACTGCGTAGGGCACCAAATGGCCGGTAGGGCACCAAAAAAATCAGGGTCGTAAAAAAAAAAAAAAGTAACCATATTCTGAATACCACCTTTTTTTAAATAGTAACTGTAACGGAATACAGTTACTCATGTTATGTATCTAAATGGCCGGTAGGGCACCAAACGGGACACAAAAAAAAAAAAAAAAAAAAGTAACCATATTCTGAATACCACCTTTTTTTAAATAGTAACTGTAACGGAATACAGTTACTCATGTTTTGTATTTTAAATACGTAACACCGTTACATGTATTCTGTCACTCCCCAACACTGGTTACCTCACCCTTCTGTACTCCTGTTTCCAAGAGTTATTTCTCCAGTACAAGTTTCAGTTATGATTTTTTTCATCTGTTATCTTCTGCATTTTGAGCGAGTTGGGAATAAGGCAACCATCCATCAGAGCCGTGCCAGGGACCAAGTGGCTCCTCCATAGTTAGAAAGCCTCATGTCCTGGGCACTTCAAACCCGCCAGTTATTGGCCCTGAAGAAACAGAGGGTCACAGACCGATTCCACTTCAAGCTAGGGAAACAGATTACATCTGTTTTAGAAAAACAACAAAACAAAACAAAACAAAACAAAGAGCTTTAGTAAGGTCTTCAGATGCAGTTTAAAGGACAGATTTTATCATGGCAACCAGCATCAAACTCAAGGGGTGGATGAAGGTGATAGACAGGTCTGGTCTCCCTGGGCAGTTCAAGCCATGGGTTTAGCAGCAGATTCTCTCATGAATTATCTGGCCCTCGCTCGTATATGAGGTGCCCATGACTATAGTCCCATTTCCTCCCAGTCTTGCTGTCCAAGCAAGACTGGGAGGAGATGGAAGAAAGAAGAGGCAGTGCTGGGATTGGGAGCATTCCTTCAGTCCTGGTCAACAAGAAGGAAAGATGTTAACTAGTTCTTGAGGAGGTGCACTTATTCTGATAAAGTGGGAGCAGGCAATGAAGCAAAATGTCAGCTGGCAAGATATCTGCTCATGTAACCCCCAGAGGATTAAATTCCTCATCCAGGAAGTTTGACTTGCTTCCCAGATGTTCTCATGGTACAAGGTTGAGTAGCCAGCCTGTTGCCTTTGTTCAGGGACAGGGACCCTCGAGCACATCTTGAACACTTGCTGTATGGGACCGAGCTAAGGACCAGATCCTAGAGTCTATTGCAGCGGCAATCAGCAAGGGGATTAAAGATAACAGGTGCAGCACTGTCGTAACCAGAACCATCAGGATAGTCACTGCTGGATAGCAACCAGAGAACCAACCCAAAAACTCAAAGGGGGGCTTGATTGCAACCACACAAGACTGGCAGTTCAACAGGTATATTTTAATTTGGCCTTTTTAGGTCCCACAGTAACTCTATCCTCCTGCCTTCTGAAGGGAAATATTCTGAGCTGTGGCTGCTTGACTGACACCTATATATCTACTTATATGGACTGCATTATTTCAAAGAATTCTACTGTGCATATTCATCTCTGTCTCAATAAATGAAAGAAATGTGGTCACTGGTAAAATAAGGATACCAGCCAAACTATCTATTTCACAACTTGGAGTCATGGAGACCGACAGAAGCCCACATGCTGAGCACTGGAAAGAATTCAAAAGGTTTATTTACAGGTTTGTTTGAGGAAAGAAATAATGTAATCAGTGAGGCATTTTAAGGTCCCTAAGTGGCAGCGAAGGTATTATGGGTTTCCAAGGCACACACACACTCTGAAGTATAAAGCTCACAGGCCTCAGGCAAACATGGAAAGGTCTGCACAGAGACACAGAAAGAATTATGTACCCACCTGACGCAAAGATCTGGCAATGACTGAGTGTCTGCTCCAACATTAAGTAGCCGGCCTGATTGTTCAACTAGCTGCAGGTGATTCAGATCAGCTGAGCAACCACTGAGGAAAGGTAAACACTATACCCACAAAACACATGCACAGACTGACAGGGGAGAAAGAAAGAGAGAGGAAAAGAGTGACGGAAAGCCAGCATGATGCCGAGAACCCACTGCGAAGTAACACAGAACAGGAAGTTAAAGGCAACGGTTATGTGTGTATGTAAGTAACACTTCTGATTACATTTTTGTGTGTATGTCATATTGTTATTCAAAAAGGTTTATGCTCAATTTCTTCTTTGCTGATGTGATTCTTGCTCATGGGAACTGTTTTCCTGATTAAATGTGAAATGTTCTGTTACAAAAATATATTCCAGCATCAGGTTGTTTGTATTGTTGTTCAGTCTCTGGAGCTATGGAAGTGTATGTTTTTGTTAAATACATTTGCACAAATTTGTTTCTAATGCTCTGAATTCAAAAAAGTTCTTTTTGCTATAGGGTCAAATATTTAGCAGGTATTATAAAGATAAAACTCTCAAATGTGAAGGAAGCTATAACCAGAAGTGGCTGTTAGCAGGGCTAAATTATTTTTAAAAAAATATAAGCTCTCATTGCTTCCAGCTGAGGGCATGGAGATATTTGCTCAGTAATAATAAAAAAAATAGTCGCATCCCACACGATCTGCTTACATCTTCAGCATATCCTGTTTTCCACCTCTATCACTGTAAAGTGGACGTGGTGTAGATAAGATAAGAGTTGGATCTCAATATATTATTTAATAATATTTGGGTATTGTTATAAGATATGTAAGATATTTAGCAGATGCTATGTAGATCACCATCTAATATCTCTGAAATATCTCTTAATGCTTTATGTTTCTACTCCAGAAACATGAGTTTTTGTTTCACAGAAAACTGTTGTGTAGAAAATGTGTTTTCTGATGGCAACAAATGATGTTAGTATTTGAAATGTTTGAGATTTGTTTGAAATTGGTACACAATTAATTAGTTCTACTTAGGGTTGGGCGATATGTAAAAATTTATGTATGTATGATGTAAAAACAATCGTAAGCCCAATAATCGACGATGGGCAATATATTGGCACATACGCAGACTTTTAAAGGGCGGAGCAATGTAATCATGCAACGACTGATTTGCACGTTTACAAAACAGAACAACTCCACACATGGACGAACTAAATGCCAAAAAATATAAAGTCGCCAATTTGGGATTTCTTTGGCTTTAAACCGGATGAAAGAGGTAAATCTAAGGATGTAACCAAAGCGGTGTGCCACTTCCGTGAGAATTTGCTCACGGATGAAAGACGGTGTTGTTAAAACATCGCAAATATTATTTTTTCTTTTGACTACTTCTATTAGCTCCATCATTATGAGCAGATTTACACATGGACAAATAAATCAATCAATCGCCCTTGTAAAAATGATATTCCATATATTTGTCCAATCGCCCAGCCCTAGTTCTGTTGTAATTTTGGAATATTTGACTACAAGTTTTCCTTATTATTGATACAGTCCAGTCACTTGGCAGTGTTCATTCTCATAAAGAAACCTAAAACTGCCATAAAAATGAATGTAGTACATTTAACCAAAAGAAACAATAGGCAACCAAACCAGCAAATGAAAATGAAGCAAGCTCCTTAACTTTGGGATCTACTGTTTTGTTATAAATTTTGACATACATGTACATACAAGCGTCTTAATGTTTCTGTGAAACTGGAAAAGGAAGTTGTGGTGGAGGGTTGCAGCATTGGTGTGTCGCTAACAGTAACCTCCTATCTACACACTGATTCAGAAAGCCATTGAACCAGAGAAGAATAAATTCAGCTGAGAGTAAAAGATTTCCTTCAGCAACACCACATACTTCTCTTAGGTTGAAATACAGCCAGCGATAAGTGTACAGTCATTTTCATAACTGGCCATTACTGTTTCAAGTATAAAACACATGACGAGCATGAATCAGACTGAAAGTCAATATAGACTCTTACAAACAGAACTACATTTCCTGAATTACACTAACTGTATCTTTTTTTTTCTATTGCTGATGCACTGGACTTTTACTCCCTACAGGGTGTGCATTGCAACATTTTTTAAACTACTGACATGAGGACATTTGTTTTGAGTGGTAAATGGACTGGTTCTTTTATATCACTTTTTTACTCTACCTGAGAACTTAAAGCGCTTTATACAACATGCCCCATTGCCCCATCCACACACACATTATACTCCAGTGGATGCCACAAAGAGCAACTTGGAGTTTGAGTCTAGCCCAGGGATATTTGTCATGCAGACTAGAGATGCCGGGGACAAAAGCACCAACTTTGCAATTAATAGATGGCCTGCTCTACCTTCCGCGCTATGGCCAGCCCTTTACATTGTAGGTTCCACACAGTTGTTCCCATTTCAGTTACATATACTGCTGAAGTTATTCTACTTAAGCATGAGCACCGATACATTTTTAAAAAGTAGCATAGATTGCAAAAGGACCAGTGATATTTTTAAGATACTTGATACCATAGTTATTTCCTGTTGCAAGAGATGTCAATTTCGTGAAAAGGAAATCATTGACAAACTGTTCCTAAGCAACAGATAACAGAACTATAGAGGTTAAAGCCTACATGTTATTTTCCCCTGCGCTGCTGGAATCACAAATATCTTAAAACACTATGAATTAATTGTCTACTTGGGGGAAAAAATGTATGTATAAAATGATTATTTCTTCCCTGAGTTTTGTTGTAGGCGTAACTATATCATTTTTAATTCTAATTATAAGTTCATAAATGATTACAGGAGAGTAAAACATAGGAAGAGGTCTTAACCCATCTAAGACAAACTGTTAACATGCTGCAGTTTTGCATCGTAGTTAATATTAACCACTGGTACTAGTCACGCTGAAGTCACATGTGACTTCAGCGTGACTGTTTCCGGCTTCTAACATTTTATATCAGTTCATCTTTGAACTCACGAGTTACAACTTGAAAGTCTTTGATGAAAGTTGCAGAATGGAATTTTAGTTGTTGTTAAGTCTGGAAACTTTCTTCTGCTTGGTGAGTAAATACATTTACCTTATCACACCAAATACAGAAGATTCTACAGTTGATGAAGTTCTACGGCTGATGCAGAAAGTCGACTGCCTCATTTCTTTGGCACTGATCAGTGAATAAAAGTCATTTTATTCACCACAATGTAAAATGCAAAAATCAAAAGTATCAACTAAGCAATATTTAAGGTGCTTATTTTACTTCTTTATTTATGCATTTAACTATTTACATAGACAGGTTGGAAATAAAACTGTTCAATATTGTTCAATACTGTTCAATGTGATTGATCAGTGAACGTTTGAACAGGCAGCTGTCTTTTACTCTGTGTTTAAATTGTCAGAAAAAAGCTAAATGTTTTATTATTATGGGGTATATTTTTTCTAAACTGTGATTGGTATCTGTTCTTTTTTCTTTTTCTTTTTTTGGTTTAGGTCCATAATGGAATCTACCGTGAACAGTGGAGTGATTCTTTCAGTTTACATCATTTCATTCCTGATTGGCTTCCCCTGTAATCTCTTGGCTCTCTATGCATTTAGTACTAAGATTCACTCCAAGCCACTTCCAACAGACATCCTGCTGCTCAACCTGACTGTCTCTGACCTGATGTTTTTGATCATTCTGCCTCTCAAGATGCACGAGGCAGCATCTGGTATGGAATGGAATCTGCCCAACTTCATGTGCTCCATCACCTCCTTCACATTTTTCTCCACAATCTACACCAGCTCCTTGCTGCTGATGGCAGTCAGCGTGGTTCGCTACATAGGAGCAGCATTTCCTATCACCTATCAGAAGCTGCACAAACCCATGTATGCAATTGTTATCAGTGCTGTTATTTGGCTGATCTCGACAGCACACTGCAGCATTGTTTTCGTCATCCAGCATCACCCATCTTTGGCCAGCAATAATTCCAGTACTTGGTGCTATGAGCATTTTACAGACGAGCAGAAGCAGATCCTCCTCCCAGTACGTCTGGAGTTTTTCTTTGTACTCTGCCTCATACCTCTTCTTATTTGTGTTTACTGCTACTTGCGCTGCATCTTGATTCTGTACAGCCGACCCAGGATATCCCAGATGCAGAAACAGAAGGCCATTGGCATGGCCTCAGGGACTCTTGCTGTGTTCCTTATTTGTGTTCTGCCATACAATTTATCTCATTTAGTGGGTTACATCCAGGGACAAAGCCCAGAGTGGAGGTACTACAGCTTGCTGCTTAGTTGTTTCAACACCTGTATTGATCCAATCATTTTCTACTTTTCCTCCTCCATCTTCCGCTTGTCAAGTGAAAAGTTCATTTTCAGGAATTGTATGCTCAGTCCTTCACGGTTCCAAGGACATGTCAACAGCTCTAGCTAGACTAACATTTCCTTTCATTAGCAATTGTTCATATTTAGTTTGATTATATTTGTTTGAGTGCACATTACAGAGATAAAATAATATGCAGTATGTAATCTCATTACAGTCTATTTAACTCTTATGTCTGGCACATTTTATCTTAATCTAAAATATATCCAAGTTTTCTGCTCCCCACTCACACAAACTATTTTTGGTGATTAAAAAGACAAAAAAACATTGTTGCGTAACACTGGTGCCGCATAGTGGAAAAGTGAGGTCATTTTGATATAAACTGATGCATTATTACCTGATCTAGTCACTTTGCATGTGTTTAGAAAATGTGTTTACTGATAGCGAGACATAAGAATTTTTTTTTTGAAATAGCTGTACAGGGTTTATCTGAACTTCCTCATAACTGTTCAATGACTCAAAATAAAATGTTAATGAAAATAGAAGTGTTTATAAAACTGAAATGTATTTTTGATTTAATTTTTTTAAAGCAAAGATGGCATTTTTCTTATTCTGTAATGCTATCTATTGATTTGTTTTACTATTAGCAGAATACCTTAATATTACATATCTTGAAAACACTCATTTACATTAACAATCCTGCGCAGAAGGTCATAAACAGGGCCAATCAGCCTCAAACGCTTGCCTGGAAACTTGCCTGTCACAGCACTGTAAATGGCCACTGCACGCAGTTCAAAGAAAATTGGTCTGGTATGCAGAGAGGTGCACATAATATAATTTATCATTCTATAGGTAATGCTCAATTCAGTTGCTGTGAACTTTTTGAGAACTTTATTTTTGCATCATATGGAAATTCACTAGATTAATTATTAATTTGGTTTGTGTAGCCATGACTTGCTGAAAACAAAGAACATGGACACAAAAACAAACAAAAAACAATAATAATGATGATGATGATGATGATGATAATAATAATGTTAATGATGATGATAATGATGATGATGATGATAATAATAATAATGTTAATGATGATGATGATAATGATAATAATAATAATAATAAAGGACAGAAGAACATCATATTAAGTCAAACCGACAGTCTTCTTCTATAATTTACTTCTTATTGAAGATACTTGAAAGGTGAAATTAGTAATAAGCAGATGTTCAATAGTTTGGATTAAATTTGGTCTATTCAGATCCCCCAGTTATCCTTTCCCAGTCTACCTGTCTCTTGAAACAAGATGTTCTGAGAGCTGTCAGCCAAGTAGACACAATACGTTTGACACCCATTCATCCATTCTCTTCCAATTCAGGGCCCCAGCTGTCAGAGGGCAAGAGGTGTAGGGTACACCGTGGACAGTGTTGGGAAGGTTACTTTTGAAATGTATTCCATTACAGAATACAGAATACATGCCCTAAAATGTATTCTGTAACGTATTCCGTTACGTTACTCAATGAGAGTAACGTATTCTGAATACTTTGGATTACTTAACATATTATCATGCATTTTACAACTACATGAATGTACTATTGCTGTGTGATTTATTACTATTACTGAAGGTCCGCGGCTCCAAACCATAGTAAAGGGACCTCTGACTAATACGGGTTCCTTGTCGGGCTTGTAGCCGAAAAATGGCTTTACTTTGTTGTCTGGGTCAACTCTGCTTGCGAGAGACAGAGAGAAGCGTTGAAAGGTTGCTCCAACGTACAGTCGAGTCTTAATAGCTTACTTACAACTGGGCTCGTCAGGCTCTCTCCTTGGCTGCAGTGGTTATTATTATATTTACATGCTTCCAGCTCCCGTTTTTGCTCGATGACAACTCGTACTTTTCGACTCTCCTTTTTCTTCCACCTCGCACTCACAGACACATAACGAGTATGGCAGTCCATTCTCCCTGCAGCACGGACTACACTGCCCATGAGGCTACATTCTTTAGGGCTATGCCTGTAGCATTCTGCCTGTTAGCTTAGCACAACAACAACAACAAAAAGGCGCTCTCTCACCCAGGAAACACACGCAGAGCGTCACCCTGTAACCATGGCAACTGCAACGCTGCCGCCTGGAACTACAGAACATAGCTGTCAAACAAAACCGAAACAGTCCTCACCTGCGACAATATGAAACAGGAAAGTACCGCCGTGTAATCCATTTATTTCAACAAAGTAACTGTATTCTAAATACTACCTTTTTAAACTGTAACTGTAACGGAATACAGTTACTCATATTTTGTATTTTAAATGCGTAACATGTATTCCGTTACTCCCCAACACTGACCGTGGACAGGTCGCAAGTCTCTCACAGGGCTAACACAAAGACATAGACAGACAACCATTCACACTCACATTCACACCTATGGGCAATTTAGAATCACCAGTTAACCTAACCCCACTAACTGCATGTCTTTGGATTGCGGGAGGAAGCCAGAGTACCCAGAGAGAACCCACAGAAAAATGGGGAGACCACGCAAACTCCACACAGAGAGACCCTGGCCTGACGGTGGAATTGAACTCAGGACCTTTGTGCTGTGTGACAACATGATACCTCTATATTATTTCAAGCGATTCTTTAGTGCTCATTCAACTCTGTCTCGACAAATGAATACAAAAATTCGGTCTCTGGTAAAATAAGGATCCCAGCTAAACTATGAACAGTGCAACCTGGATAACACTCAGAAATAACACGAGACAGCTGTCTGAAGGCAATGTGTGTATGTCAGTAATATTTCTGATTAAACGTTATTGAGTGTGTGTCATATTGTTACTCAAAAAGCTTTATTCTCAGTGGCCTCTTTGCTAATGTGGTCGTGCTTGGACCGCATTAGTATTAGAAGTTGGAACTGTTATCCTGATTGACTGTGAAATCTTCTATAATAAAAATATATTCCACCATCAGATTGTTTTGTATTGTTTAATCTTTGAAACTATAAAACTGGATATTTTGTTGAATAATTTACACAAATGTATTTCTAATGTTCTAAATTTAAAAGAGACCTTTAATTGCTTGGTTAAGGTCACATATTATTCTTGACTAACAAGAATAAAGATACAAGTCTGAAAGGTAAAGAAAGTCAGCAGATGTACTTTGGCTTTGAGCAAAGGGTTAAACTGGGCAAGAAGAATCTGGTAAGGCATTCAGTATTTTCGGTAAATGAGAAATTAAATCTGAGGTGCTGATTAATGCATAATATCGAGTGCATGGTGATATTTCCTAAAAAACTAAGAAAAAATCACTTCCCACAGTCCTCCTTGCATCCTTAACACATCCTGTTGTCCTGCTCATCACTGTGATGTGGGCACAGTGCAGATAAGATAAATTTACAGCCTGTACATAACAAAAAATCTAGTAGAGCTAGCAGTAGAAACTACAGTAACTTGTTTTTAAATTACATGTTTTCCACACATTAAACCACTATGTTATGTATCTTTTTCTCGTCTGTCAAACCCCACTTTAACCCCTGGTGGTCAGTGTTAGTGTTTTGATATAACAAGGAGTATATGGGATAAACTCAGGATATAGAGCAGACCGTCAATCTTCAGCTCTTTCAGTCTATGTGCTGTAAAGTCCTTAGGCATGACATCCAGTGACTTTGACTTAAGGAGAGTATAAACTCTCCTTAAGTCAAGGAAAACTGTTTTTATACTGAAGGCTACATGTATAGGTAATCTCCACAGTGCTCCTAAAATCACAAATTTCTCATGGAGCAATGGAAAATATCTTGAATTCTAATAAATGCAGGCTTCTGGCCTCATGAAATCCAAATCAGAATCAATAAGAATCAGAATACTTTATTAATCCCGAAGGAAATTACTATGATAATAATTTATTTTGGTGACAGGAGGTCCTTTGTTAACATATCTAAGATGAAAGTCAACATGAGCTGCGGTTATTTATTTTAGTTAATATTAACCTACTGGTGTCTGCTGTTAGTCACTGTAGTGTGCCCCAGTGTGTCGCATGGAGTTTTAAGCTTCTAACATTTTATATCAACTCATCTTTAAACCTGGATTAGAAACTGGAGGTCTTTGATGAAAAGAACAGAACGGAGTGTTAATTGTGAAGTTTTGACATCGGAGAAATATTATACCGCTTGGTAAGTAAAAATATACCAAGATCCTATTTGCTACTGAAAATCATCTACTGATGACAGCTGACTGCCTCGTTTGTTTTAGCACCTCTAAGTGATTGAAGTAATGAAACACATTTTCCTAAATAACTGTATCTATACTAACGTAAAATGTTAATTGTTTAGCAAGCAACACTGATGCTTTAGTATTATCTATTGATCATAACTGCAAGACATTGATTTTCCTTCATTGTTTAACTAGAGACATTCACTTTCTGAAGTTTGAAAATTCCTACATTACTTGCCAATTAACGTCTGTAAATTTATTTTATTCATTACTGTTTGGTTTGATATATTAGATTTAATAATACTGTATATGTATAAGATGTATGAGAAGCATAGAAGAAGAAGTTAATCTGTGTTGTTTATTTTGGTTTAGGTCCATAATGGAGTCCACTGTGAGCAGTGAGATCATTCTCTTCATTTACATCATTTCATTCCTGATTGGCTTCCCCTGCAATCTCTTGGCTCTCTATGCGTTTAGTGTCAAGATCCACTCCAAGCCACTTCCAACAGACATCCTGCTACTCAATCTGACTGTCTCTGACCTGCTGTTTTTGATCATTCTGCCTCTCAAGATGCACGAGGCAGCATCTGGTATGAAATGGAATTTATCTCATTTCATGTGCTCCATCACATCCTTTGCTTTTTTCTCCACAATCTACACCAGCTCCTTGCTGCTGATGGCAGTCAGCGTGGTCCGCTACATAGGAGCAGCATTTCCTATCACTTATCATAAACTGCACAAACCCGTGTATGCAGTTGCTATTAGTGCTGTTATTTGGCTGATCTCGACAGCACACTGCAGTATCGCTTTCATCATCCAGCATCACCCATCTCTGTCTAGCAATAACTCCAGTGTGTGCTATGAACACATCACAAAAAAGCAGCTGGAGATCCTCCTCCCAGTACGTCTGGAGTTTTTCTTTGTACTCTGCCTCATACCTCTTCTTATTTGTGTTTACTGCTACTTGCGCTGCATCTCGATTCTGTACAGCCGGTCCAGAATATCCCAGATGCAGAAACAGAAGGCCATTGGCATGGCCTCAGGGACTCTTGCTGTGTTCCTCATTTGTGTTCTGCCATACAATTTATCTCATTTAGTGGGTTACATCCAGGGACAAAGCCCAGAGTGGAGGTACTACACCTTTCTGCTTAGCTGTTTCAACACTTTCATTGATCCCATTATCTTCTACTTTTCCTCCTCCAACTTCTACTTCTTTAGAGAAAAGATTATTTTTAGGAAGTGTAGGTGCACTGATTCAAGGCTGCAAGCGTAGACCAACAACTCTAGCTAAGATTGAAATCACATCATATTTAATATCACATGTACATATTCATTTTATTCTATTAATTTACTATAAATTACAGAAATTATATCAGGATTTGAGCCTTATATTTAACAATTCATACATACAGACCTGTATCTGAAATCTTTTAAAATATTCAAGCTTAAATTTGGATATCTTACTATTGCTTATGATCCTAAGCTGTTTAATGGGATTGTGTTATCCTTGACCATTTTCTTAAAAATAAAAAAATAAAAAAAATACACATTTGGTACATATGCAGTTTTCCAAATTTTATTGTTTTCCACCACGGTGCCAATCTTTAAATGTAAACTAATGTCTTCCGCAGCCCTGACACACTTTTTCCTCTTTCCATTAACGTGGGCCAGCCACTCTTCTGCACTCATGCATTCTGTAGGCACACATGTAGAATATACCTGCAAAACATCAACAAAAGTCATCTTTAAAGAGACATAGAGACAATTTCTATAATATAACATGCCAAACAGACTTTGATTTCTGATAGTAAGACATATATTTCGTGTATGGAGTAGAAGATTTAGAA